ATCACTCATCACTCTTCCAGCACGCAGTCTACCTCACTCCGCCGTCCGCAAGCAGCATATCGACCAGCATTCGCCTGCACTTCCGCCTCACACTCACACACAACGCCAGGCAGCCCGCTGCCCAGCAGCCACCACAGCGCTACATGTCTGCCCTAGACATGCGCTACGCACTTGCATCAGCGTTAAAAAACTCACACCACCACGCTTTATGCACCACAGCAGCCTGCTATACAATCAGGGCGCAACCTCCATCCAAACCGCCACACTGCTCGCCATAAATATAACGCAACGCACTAACAATTTAATAAACGCCCTGCTTCACAATCGTAACGACAACAGTGTCGAAACGGATCGCTGCGCCATGGGTGTCGCATGGCTCTACCATTACACGCCCGTTACCGCCCACACAAACGGCTTAACGCATACACGGTTTACTGCTGCGCCGTGCCAGTCTCGATTACCACGCGCTTCACTGCTGCCATGCGTTACGCCCACCTCACACGGTTACTGCTGCCAGTGGTTACCGCATTACATGCGTACTGCCTGCCGTGGTTACCGATACCACGGTTACTGCTGCCCCGTGTTACTGATACACGCGTTCTGCCCTGCACATGGTTACCGGCTCGCGTCTATCAGCCCAACTGCGCCCTTTCTTTTCCATCAATTCATATTAATACATATTAATGTACAAGCTACAATTGATAAAGCTTACAGCTAGAATCACACCGCTACGACATTCTAAATATGCGGAAACAGTTGAAAATCATTAATTTTCGTTAACGCAGTCGTTAGCCCACCTTCAATATAAACCTCACCTATATTGATGTGATACACAACACGCCGCGCACCAGAGCTGTGCTCCATAATGTGACCCCCGCAATATCATCATGGCCTTGCGCAAGTAATGTACAGTTTACATTCATTTTACATACGACGGAGCTTTACTAGTCATGCCACATCTCTATCCTAGCCACCATATCACGTTAGTTTGAACCCCTGAACACTCATCAAGTATATTCGCAGAGATATGCTGTGTGTGCCTCTTGTGTGTGTGCTGTGGCTGCGTGTGTTGGTCCGTGGTGTGTGTGTAGCTGTGCTGTGCTGTGTGTAGGCCTAGCCATCACACCATCTCTCGTGTCTACACACACCACACTTATATATCTAGTTATCAATTACAATCAGCACATGCAGCGGCCAGCGAGAAATATATAGCTCTACTGAATCATGCACTATTACTCATGCTGCGATCTGCCATAGTTTATCTAGCAAGATTTGCCCTGCATCATTAGATCTGCGCGAGCATCAAGAGAGAGCAATTTCTCCTATTAAAACTCGCCTTCAATCAGGCACTCTTCTCTCAACACCAACTTGTACAGAACGGATCAAGCTGAACTCTGAATGCTATATCCAACCCGCCAGCTAGACGCATGTACAGTCGAGCCCACCACTGCACACCGTTATTAGCGGAGTAGGGATTATACATGCTATGTCAGTACATAGTTATCATACTCTATAGCAGCTCACTATATAGTCCCTCATATAGAATCAATCTATATAGCATAATATAGTAGTATATAGTATATGATAAACAATATAAGTCTATATAGTATACCTTACTAGTCTATTATAGTATATATAGTATATATAGACTATTAGTTTCTATATAGCTATATATAGTACTATGTACACTAACAGCATAGCAGCAAACGTTAAAAAGTAAGTAGCATTTAAATCTGGATCATGCCTCAATTTATAGTGAAGTTTTTTTTAATTATGTATTAAAAAGCTAAATCTAAACAAATGTGCCATTATCTACATCTGGCATGCAAAAGGAGCATGATTGCATAAATTATATGTTATTTGCCACAACATAATTGCCATACGCCGTTCATTAAGTATATTCCGCTAGAAAAAAGCAATCTAAACTGATATTTCACCTGCTACCCGGGCCTCTCATTGCTCACACTTACTTTACACTAGTCTGCCCCTACTCACGTTCATTATTTACCACATTTATTAAGCTAACGCTTAGTTATGCGGCCATACAATCTGCCTAATACTAATAGCCGCTGAGTACGCCCTGCGCATGAAATATGAACCCACATCTATCCTTGACATTCCTTGATCACAACAAACTTTATATGCCCACGATCACAGATAAATTATGCAAAATATTATAGTTTTGATGAATATAAAACTATGGCATATAACGCGATAGCTACCATGCAAATACACTAATTCGCGTGCTGAATTATAGATTAGATGCTGACATCTGCCAACCCGCATATTTTGCTACCTGAAATTTGCTGGACATTAGATATGACGCCTAGCCTGCAAAGCTTCGTTACACAATGCATCACTTCATTTGATCATATATCCAGCACAAAAACAAAACTGTCAAAACATTTTTGAGATCCGCTTGACTACGAATGCCTTCACCACACGCCCACGACAAACGTACGTACGTACGTTTTTTCCATCATCTTTCAAACTTTCCTAACAAACAGAATTTTTCATGATAAGTATTATTTAGAAAAGCTGCTATCCTAGCAACTGCAGGATTGAATGAATCAGTAGCACACGCAGCTAGGCAACTGTTACCATGACTACCCAGTTATTTCACATTGTAGCCTAAAACATCTGAATACCTCTATTCACTGCTGTCATGATATATTTTTAATGCATGAACAAGTTCTCTGTAAGCAGAGCCATCAGTCAATCAGCACGCTGACGTTTGCTCCTAGATATGCGCACTAGTGTTATTGCTAACTGCATACATCACATACACGCTGGTACAACAACATATCTATACTCGTATATAGATACATATACATAGTACATGTCAGCACTCATGCAGTGTGTTTAAACATAACTACTGCTGCGGTGCTTGTGGTGCCGAACCGGGGTGTACTGCCGTGCTGCCCTCGTGCGTGCGTCGGGTCGGTGTGTCGTGCGCTGTGTGGTGTGTGTGCTGTGTGGTGTTGCTGTGTTGTGCGTGCGTCTGCGTGTGCTGTGTGCGTGTGTGGTGTGTGTGCGTGCGTGCCGTGCCGTGTATGTGGTCGTGTGTGTCTGTGTAGTGTGTCATATGTATCCAGCTGATGAATCATAGCACTGACACACGCAGTTCACTAGCATTAGGTGTGTTCTGTACGTGCCGTGCGTGCGATGCGTATGTGTGGCGCTCATTGTTGTGTGTGTGTGTGTGTGCGTGCCCGTGCGTGCCGTGCGTGTTGGTGTGTGGCTGCGTGGCGTGTGCGTCGCGTGCGTATGTGTGCCGCGGTCGTGCGCTGCGCTGCGCTCGTGCGTGCAGCTACAACTATGACTGTCCCTTCAGTTGTTTATCAAGGTCACTCAGGTCACTCAGCTGGTCCTGTATACTGGTGCGTTGCAGCAGCTTTGACCGGTGCTGCCCTCTCGCATCCGTCTCTCCCTCCCCGCCGCCGCCGCCGCCGCCTCCGCCGCCGCCTGCTTCCGTGCGTCTGTCAGCGTGAAACCTATCACCTGTTAACGACACAGCGAGACGCTAGCAACGATCCGTCGTCCCGCTACGATGGAATCTTAGTCAGCAATGCAAAGACAAGTGAACGTTCCTCGTACTTTAGACCATTACAGGATTTGATAAAGCTACAGGAAGATTCCGGCATGCTGTGTACGCACCACTGCCAGAGCCGTAACTCGTGAATTTGCCAAGAAGGCTTGCAGGCAATATATGTACATGAACTTTACATAGCTTTTCCCCAATGCCGAAAGCTCACACCCGCATTGTATAACAAGTGAATAAAACCAAAATTTGTGAATTGTTGAATATATTTTTATTACTGCTCATTGTAGAATGAAGACAGTAACTATCTAGTTAGATGCATGCATTCATCACTCTTCCCAACCTTCCCACAATTGTAGCAATTACTACAGCATAGATCGATTCTGTGGCAACTGAACAGCACCACCTATTGGTGAATTTGTGAATTAATCATCAATACTGGACCCCGCTCTGTGAATCTGCAGGATACGGCTGAAGAGGAATAATACCTACGACTTCTGCAAACATTTACCTGTCGTAGAAACAGGTATCGATTGGGAATGAGCAAGAAGCAGATCTGTGGATAACTTTTCGATATTGTGCCATCGCTGGCTCATGTACCTTAGCAGCTATAGCTTAGCTAGCCTACCTAGCTTAGCAGCTATAGCCTACCTAGCTTAGCAGCTATAGCCTACCTAGCTTAGCAGCTATAGCCTACCTAGCCTACCTAGCCTACCTAGCTTTCCTGGTACATGTGGCTAGACTATACTGACCTACCTTTAACTTTCTCTTCGCCCAACTTTCCTGATGCCCCCGTCAAAGTTTCGGTGAGTTTGGCAGGTGACTCCCTCTCATGGTGAGACTTATCCTTTGGTTCTTCCACTGACAACATACATAGAAGCACATAAGTATTATTAGGATTAGCTCTACAGTTAGTAACCCCTCCTTCTCCCCCTAGTCCAACAACAACTAACACAATTACTCTTTCCTGTCTAATCAACTATTATTCTCAGGTTTGACATCAGCTTTATCAAGTAGTTGAACTAGTTTAGATTGAGAACATATAAAATTTCCAATGTCTAGTGACATGTATACTTATCAACATGAACTGATATATAGTTCCTTGAGATAAATTCACCTGTAAAGTTTGTCGCGCTTTCTAACACGTCCTTGACATTGTGGAATTGCTGCTGCAATTTAAACTCGCTGCTATTCTGCACTGCAATCACCTGGTGCAAATGATCCAGCCTCGACATCATGTCCTGCAACATCAAGTAATAATCCAACATAATATGACGTGATCTGGTATGAGTGCAACATGGTGTGATGTAACATGACCTGGTGTGAGTGCAACGTGATGTGATGTAACGTGACCTGGCGTGAGTGCAACGTGGTGTGATGTAACGTGACCAGGCGTGAGTGNTATTAAATCTAAATAACCCCAAAAGACATGTAAATCGTTACGTAGTCATCTGTGAAACACTCACACACTCCACAGGCACACACACGCACCCCACAGGCACACACTCACACACCCCACAGCCACACTCACACACACACCCCACAGGCACACACACACACCCCACAGGCACACACACACACCCCACAGGCACACACACACACACCCCACAGGCACACACACACACCCCACAGCCACACTCACGCACCCATGGTTCTTATGTTCTCACATTCTCACATACACCCTAGGATACTTACACTGTCCCACACATACACCCTAGGATACCTACACTGTACCACACATACACCCTAGGATACTTACACTGTCCCACACATACACCCTAGGATACCTACACTGTCCCACACATGCACCCTAGGATACCTACACTGTCCCACACATGCACCCTAGGATACCTACACTGTCCCACACATGCACCCTAGGATACCTACACTGTACCACACATACACCCTAGGATACCTACACTGTACCACACATGCACCCTAGGATACCTACACTGTACCACACATACACCCTAGGATACCTACACTGTACCACACATGCACCCTAGGATACCTACACTGTCCCACACATGCACCCTAGGATACCTACACTGTACCACACACACACCCTAGGATACATACACTGTACCACACATACACCCTAGGATACCTACACTGTCCCACACATGCACCCTAGGATACCTACACTGTACCACACACGCACCCTAGGATACCTACACTGTACCACACAATACATCCATATAACCTACAGTTTGTTTCATTCATTTTGGTAGCCTGGTACCACACACGCACCCTACCACAACCTACACTGTACCACACATGCCCCCCATAAGGAAACTACCTGCCTTCGCCCGACACTTACGCTATCTCAAAAAATACTAAAGCACTGTACCCACACATACACCTGCTAGGCATACCTACACTGTACACACATACACCCTAGATACTAACCACGCTGTACCACAGGCATACACCAATGAGGATACCACAATCTGTAGCCACACATGCACCCTAGGAACCTACACTCGTCAACACACACCACCCAAGGATACCGTACACTGTAGCCACACATGTCACCCTAGGATACCAACACTGTACCACACATACTAACCAGGATACCTAACACCGTCCCCAAGCACACGCACCCTAGATACCTAACAAACTGTACGCACACACGCAACCCTAGATACCTACACTGTACCACACATGCACCTCTAGAAACCTACACTGTACCACCACATACACCCTAAGAGTACCTACACTGTACTCTGACACAACACCCCCTAGATACCTATCACTGTACCGAACCATACACCCTAGAATACCTACACTGTACCACACACCACACCCTAGGGATACCTACACTGTAACTTACACACGCACCTAGGATACCTACAGCTGTACCACACAATACACCCTAGGATAACGCTACATCTGTACTCCACACATACACCTATGAATACATAACACTGTATCCACACACACACGCCTAGATACCTACACTGTACCACACATGCACCCAGATACCTACTACTGACCACACATACACCCTAGGCATACCATACACTGCGTACCAACAGTCACACACCCTAAGGATACCTACACTGTATCCACATCACACACCCTAGATACCTACAGCTGTAACCACACAGTACACCGCTAGGTACCTACACTGGTACGCGACCACACACACCCTAGATACCTACCTGTACCACAACCACAGCCTAGATAACCTACACGTGACCACCAGCATACACCCCTAGGATACCTAGCCACGTGGTACCCCACCCATACATGCACCCTAGGATCACCTACCTACAGCCCACACACGCACCTAAGGATAATCCTACACGTACCACACAATACACCTCTAGATCCCTACACTGCTACCACAACACACCGTAGGCATACCTAGCACGAACACACATACACCCTAGATACCTACAACTGTACCTACACATACAACCTAGATAGCGCTACACGTCCCACACATGCACCTAGCATACTTACACTCCGCAACACATACATCCTAGATACCTACACTGTACCACAACATACATCTCTAGATACCTACACGTACCAACCACACGCACCCTAGGATACCTACATCTGTCCCAGTCACATACATACCTAGATACCTACACTGTACCACACACCACCCCTATGAATTACCTTACACTGTATGCACAACAAATAGCATCCTCGGATACTGGCTAACACCTGACCACACATACACCCTAGGATACCTACACTGTACCACACATGCACCCTAGAATGACCTACAACATGTACCTAACACAATACACCCCTAAGATACCTACACTGTACCACACATACACCGCTAGGCATACCTACACTGTCCCACACCTAACACCCTAGGATACCTACACGTACCAACCACAACACACCCTAGGATACCCTACACTGTCCGCCAACAACACGCCACGCCTAGGATACCTAACACTGTAACACACATCCACCCTAGATTACCTAACACTCGTACCACACATACACCCTAGATACCTACACTGTACGCACACATACACCCTAGGGATTAGCCTACACTGTACCACACATACACCCTAGATACCTACAGCTGAACACAGCGATGACACCTAGATACCTGACACTCTACGCACACATGCATCCTAGATACCTACACTGTCCACACATCCACCCTAGAATACCTACACTGTCCCCAACACATGCACCCTAGAATACCTACACTGTACTGACACATACACGCCTAGGGAATCCCTACACTGTACCACACATACACCCTAGACTACCTACACTGTACCACACATATCACCCTAGGAATACCTACACTGTACTGCACACATGCACCCTAGAATACCTACACGTACCCACACAACGCTACCCTAGATACCTACACTGTACCAAACACGCAACCCTAGGATACTTACACGACCACACATTACACCCCCTAAGGATACCTAACACTGTACTACACATACACCACTAAGATACCCTACACTGTACCACACATACACCTACAGGATAACCTAACCACCTGACCACACATACACCCTAGGATACCTACACCTGTACCAGCCAACACGCACCCTAAAGATACCATACACTGTACCACCACATACACCCTAGGCGCGGGCGGGATACCTAATCACTGTCCCCACCATCATCCTAGGATACCTACACGTAACCACATACACACCCTAGAGATACATACACTGACCACACATCATCCCTAGATACCTACACTGTAACCACACACAACACCCATAGGATAATCTATACACTGTACCACACAATGCACCCTAGGATACCACACGTACCACACACCGCACGCGCTAGATACCTTACACTGACCACACATACACCCCTAGTATACCTTCACTGTACCACACATACACCCTAGGATACCTACACTGTACCACACATACACCCTAGATACCCTACACTGCCACACTATACACCCTAGATTACCTAGCACTGTACCAAACACATGCACCCTAGATACCTACACTTCACACACCAAATGCGATCCTAGGATACCTACACTGTACCACACATGCACCCATGATACCTACACTGCCCACCACACACATACTCTTACACTGCACCAACACATACACCCTAGGTATACCTACACTGTAAGCCACACATGCACCCTAGATACCTGACACTGTACCACACATACACCCTAGCACCTACACTGTACCACAACATACACCCTAAGGAACCTACACTATACCACAACATCACCCTAGGATACCCTACACTATACACACATAAACACCCTAAGATACCTACACTGTACCTCACACACGCACCTAGATAAACTACACTGAAGCACACATACACACCAGGATACCTACAACAGTACTCCCACACAGCCACCGCTAGATACTTACACGCCCACACATCGCCACCTAGATACCACTACACTGTACACACACTACACCCTAAGGATACCTACACGTCCCACCGGCTAGTGTTACTTTGCTTCCACTATCTTCCGCACATATAGGCTAAGCTCACTGCTCAGTGACATCACGTGGACGTGATGTCATCGTGAAACCCCCGCATTGACCCCGCCTCGCTCGTCTGTGGGACAAATGAGAAGGCCATGACAACGTGAGTGTCTGCTGCACAAACGCAAACGCTGTCAGCTATCCTCTCGTCCGGTCTGTGACCACACATACGGGACGCAGACAACGGCATGTCCGCTCCACTATCGCAAACATCCTGCGGCAGCTAGAGGGCTCCGAGTGTTACAACGACGTGTGAAACTTATATGTCCATAAACCATTACCGTGGCCACAACTCCAAACCAATATATAACAGTAATAATAATAATTATAATATCAATTCTACATCTTTACACAAAAGCTTATTTACCCGTAACTGATATATAATTACCGAAAAGATAAACAAGTTATAAGCAATAAAGTTTTATGAAAAGTACAATCTTCCACCCCGGTTCCAAAGATCCCACATAACCTCATAACCCCCCCCAAAAAAAACACCGCCAACCACCGCCACCATGTGTGAAGAGGCACTGCAATGATCTCAAGTCTGCTCATCACACTGGATATGTAGGAGCTTGGATACTTCCCAATCTTCAAGCTGCTGTGTATCAATTCTGCAAACTGCGGTAGTTGTCTGTTAGAGAAGATTGGTAGTAGGTAGCTCTGGTTAAGTAGCGTATCTGTAAGTTAGTAGTCTGAGTAGTAGTAGTCTGGTAGATAGCTAGTCCCTGGTAGTTAGGTATCGTAGTAAGT